TATAGTTTTTGAAGTGTCTCATACATTTGGTCCTTGCGCTTTTGACCCATATATCGATTGTCATTCAGTCCTACAATGTAGTGCCATTATGGTGTTGTTAATTTAGCATTTAATATTGCACGAGGCACTTTGCAACTTTGCAGGAATTATTCATACATTACCTGACGGAGGAGGCGCACATGCAAAGCAACAAGGGATCCTCTCTGGATTACAAACACCTGGCGGAGGTGGTGCAGACTAACGACACGCTGGAGTTCCTGCGGGAGATAATGCCCAGGAAGATTACCGTCCGACAGTTCAAGGAGATGATGGAGGCCAAGGAGGCGTCCAACAGCAGCAGCTCGTCCGAGAGCAGCTCGGACTCGGACAGCGACAGCGACTCCGACACGGACTCCTGTTCGGACAGCGACGAAACCAAGGGGGACAACGGCAACTCGTCGGGTAGCGAGCGGGAGAGCGAGACCAAGGAGAACGGCGCTTGTCATTCGGATAGTGACAAAAGTGAGAGCAGTGTGAAAAGTGATAGTGAGGAGAACAATAAGAGATGAGAACTCGTTGAATTTCTACTTCTAGGAGACAGACTCCGATTATTTGACAAACCTAGATTCATCTCGTGTCTTTCTACAAAATTTTGCAGATCTGTAAAATCTATCCAGTGTCAAGATCATGCGTCTATATCAGCAGATCTAGTTTAGCAAACGCAGTCATCAGTAGTGACTCAAAATTTAGAGACAGGCCACGAGAATTTGTCTCGAAAGAGGAGATATTATTTTTATATGCTCACGAATGATGAAAAGTGCACCACACTAGATCTTTTTACACATATTTCTTCTCTCACACATATTTTTGTACATATATCTCACGACGTTCATTATTCACGCATTCAATGTTAATAAGATCAATGTTTTTTTTACATTAATCATATTTATTTATGATCATGCTTTAGGATTGGTTTTTTCATCTTTGATAACAATAAATTGATGTCACGATATTTCGTTTTATTTAATCTTTAAGAATCTTGAATTATATAACAATCATAGGAGAATAATTCATTGATGTAAACGTTTTAAACTTTTGTATAATACAAAGTTAGCGAAAGTAGGTTGCGTGTTATTTATATTAGCATTTTAAGATTTTTTTTTTTTACTAATCTTCCTTATAATACGCATGTTCAAGATAATGGAACGACCGAATACGCTTGGATGTTGTATTTAGTCTCGATGTAACTTTTTCGATTTGGATGTGACATCGAAACCGTTCTCATTTAATTTTAGAGCTAGAAAATAGATCTCGGCTAACGCTATAATTAACGCGCAAATTATACCTAAGAGTAATCTAAATCCGAAGTCTAGGTCCCCGATTATGAGTTCTACCCCGATGAATCCGAAAGCGAAGCCAGCTATCACGGAAAATACAAATTGCGCGACAGCAATCAGTTGCTTGTTTATCTCCTTCACTGCAAAATAAAGTGACATTAGAAAGACATTAAATTGTCTTTTGTAAGCGCGGTTAAAAAAAATAGATTTAACAATATACAATATATTTACTTTGATACGCGATGCTGTCTTCCGGTAAGAATTTCCGTACAGAATCGATGCTCTTCGTCATCGCCTGATATTCTCGGGCGTTTTGCTGCGCCGTTAATTTCCGTATTCTAGCCTCCAGCTCTGGATTCCGTGGCGTCTCCTTTGGCGTCGGCAGTATCACGTCGGAATCATCGAAAAGTTCGTGCAGGTAAATCTTTTGTGTCGCAGTTTTCCTATTCTCTTTTAGATACCCATTCAACCACTTGAGATCCTCGATTTTTAACGTGGCACTTGCAATCTTCTCCTTCTTGGATTTTTTCAGTTTGCGCAAGGATGCGATGCCATCCGGTGCACCATTCGTATCTTTTACATCGTACAAGATAAAATCTTTCAATTTCTTAGACGGATTTATCGTTACGGTAGGATCTACAATCGACTCTAGTGGCATATCTAAACGAACTCAATATACACCCGTCTCTCTACTTTAAGAAAATTATTAGGTCTGTATTAAACGCTAAAATACTAAAAGAGGCAACGCATAAGGTACAGGCTAAAAAGTTATTGTCATTTCTTATGGCGTAATGTGCAATTTCTTTTCCAAGTCAACATAGAACTCCTGTATTTCCGTTTCCTTCTCCTGAAACGTCTGGTCCACCTTTTGACACTTGTCGCTCATATCATTTATGAACTTCTCCCACTCTCTTTTTCTCAGTAATCTGTTTTCACTCAGAACGTTATCCTACAAAGATAAAATATACCCAATATGGAATCAATTCTTTTTCGTGTCACGAGAGATGAACGAGATGCCACAAAGATTGGCGCACGTACACTGTCAAAATTTTCCTCCCTCTGTAAAACACGGTTGCACATACTCAGCGCGACATCCACGTTCGCTTTGAGGCTAGGCAAGTGGCAATCGCCGAGTTGCTCGGTGCGATCCAACTGGCTCTCCTTCAGCTCCGTTGTGTATTCAAGTATCTTAAACAGGCGTTCCACCTCCCTGTCGGACCTTCTTTCCTAAAAAATAGCAAAAATGCAATCTAGGATTCGTACTGCGCACAGAATGCAACACTTAAGAATTAAACGCTTGACAATTGACATACAATAGTTTACAAAGTACAGACAGAATGACTATTGATGTCTGCTTTCATATGAATTTATGAAGTTAAATTGAAATAAGAATTAATTCCAAAAATCAATAAATTGATATATAAAAAGAGCTCTAAAAAGAAGGGGATTAAAACATTTATTTCGCGGACAAGAGCAATTGCAGTTTCCATCATTGCAGTGTCTTTGTTTAATGATTAAGTTTTCACGACTCGTAGGTTATGTCCGCGCATTTAAATCCGCATCTTGGCGGAATATTTTTAATTAAATTCCAATCGGTTTTATCGCCATCGGCCATAAAACCGAGCCGACGCCGAGCTCACGATCGCCAGGCGCTCACCTGAAACTCTCGTAGGAAGAACGTGACCTCACCCTGGACGAACGGACGATGGTCGAACAGCCTGCCCCAGATCTCGCCCGTGTCTACGGAAACGCGTGTGATTCAGTAATCAGTGACAGTTTGGTGATGCCTAACGTAAATGCGTTAAGTGTACCGTTCGCGCCGAACATAAACGTCCTAAACGTGCGTGGCGTTTAGGACGATACCGTGAATGTCGCACCTTTGATGACGGACGCCATGTCGGTGCCAGTAGAAAC